ACAACAGTGGCAACATGAAGTATTTGTCCTTTTTTGATAGAGATACTTCACTCAGCATAATGTCCTCCAGGGTCACCCATTTTGAATAATATTGCCTGATTTCCTTGTTTTTCAATGCAGTATAGTATTCCATTGTGTGAATATACCACAGCTTTTCTATGCATTCATTTGTTGATGGGCATTTAGATTGTTTCCAACTCCTTGCTATTGTGAACAAAGCTGCGATAAACATTGTTGTGCATATATCTGCTTGGATGTCGGTTATGGTCTCTTTGGGGTATATTCCCAAGTAGTACAATTGCTGGGTAAACGTATCCTTATAATGCCAGGCATGCCCCCCCCATGCTCCTCCACCTACTTCTATTAATCATTGTGTATAGTATTAATTTTTAGTAGCCATCTGACTTTTTACCTATAGTTGTGGGATTTATTAATAGGTTGGAAAGTGGGAGAGAGGAAGGATATAACCCATTGAACCTCCAAATTAGTGAACAGAAATCCCAAGCTATATTAACAATAAGACACTTCCTATCTTAGTTCAGATAACTTCTCAGTCAATAATTGCAAGTCCAGTTTCAGTTTAGCAATTTAAATGAAAGAAGCTTCTGATTTCCTAAGTCATCCAATATGCTTGGTCTCATAGCTATCGCTCTTCATTCAGTCGTCCAGCAAGCAAAACCTTTATTTCTGACCCCATCTCAAGCGCTTCATTAGATTCACTTCACCAGTCTGTATATGGTCTGGCTAGCTTTCTCCATTACTGATGTTGATAATGGAGAAGATGCTGATAAACAGTGAGACCACACCCCTGAGGGAATTAAGAGTGGCAAGTGGGTCCTGAAAAATTCATTTTACTTACACATTCCCACCTTGTTATGTGGTCAGGTCTCAGGCAGTGGATAAAAAAAGTGAAGAATACTACCACCACCACTGCTGAGTCAAAACTAACTCAGAGTTGACCTTCCAGCCGGTTTTGAGGAGGCTGTAAATCACATTAAAGGAAACTGTCAATCTTTCTCCAGTGGAGCCACTGATGGATTTGAACTGGCAGAGAGACTCCACCTTTGTGTTAGCAGTGCAACTCCCTATGGTCTATGTCACTAGATCTTGACTTTGATGATGCATTATGTAAAATTAATAGATAATAATATTCATTTGCTTTCAATAACAGCTTATTAAATGTTTTCTATATGCCAGAAAATATACTTTACAGAAGCAATGTTAAAATGTAGCATATCTGTAGAAATAAAAATTTATTGCTATCTATGCCCACTTTCAGTTGTTAAAAATAATCATAAATTTTTATTCAAGTAATATTTTTCACCACCTATTATATGATAGGCAGCACTAGTCTTGGGTAAGTTTCTCTACTTCTAGAACTTAAGTTTCATTAGAAGTGAAAGACAGTAGATTGACATACAAATATGTAATACCAAGTGGTGGTAATTCTATGAATAGAAATAAAGTAAGATAATAGTGTTGTTTGTAGTTGTCATTGAGTTAGGTCCCTTTTAGTAATCCCACATGGCAGAGTAGAACTGGCCCTCTAGGTTTCCTAGGCAGGAATCCTTATAAGAACAAATCATCAGGTCTTTGAGAGTTGTTTCAAACCATCAACCAATTGAGAGCTTAACAGTTGAGCCTATTCTAGAAGATAGAGTGATTCTCTTTGATGAAGTTACATTGAACAAAGAACCTCAAAGCATGAGATGCGTGAGATAAGGAGTAAGAATACTCCTGGCAGAGGGCAAGATATACACAGAGAACAACAAGGACTAGAAGTATGGTTGCGTATCAGTGAGTCTGAAGGAAATTGGACATGGAGTTAGAGGGATCAGAGGACTAATCTAGGAGACAGGGTAAGAATGATGTCCTCTGTGGTGAGTATTGGATGGCTTTTGGCAGGCTAGAGATTTGATCTAATATATTTTAAAATGGTCTCTGGGACAAGCAGATTTGTAGATTTCGAGAAAATAAAAGTGAAAACAAACCACTATTTAGGAGTTTAGGTGAAAAGATGGAGACTTGGATTACGTTGGGAGAAATTGAAGTTTACTTTAAATATGAGGACTGGTGGGATTTTCTGATGATGCATGTGTTCTAATGGAGAGAGAATAAATAGAAATTATTGCAAATAAATGTTAATTTAGCATTTTTAATAAATATTTTCATATGGTACTATAATTATGAAATATCATTATTAATATACAACTATAAATCAATTAAACAAAAATTAAAAAGTTTAGAATACTAATCAGCTTTTAACATTTGAATGTTTTTTTAATTTGCTGAGAATAACATATACATAAGATTATGGGAATGGTTTAAGTTAAAATATAATCCTTTAGCAGAAACATGCAGAAATTTTTCTCTTGCCAGATTATGTAGCTCTTAGTGTAATCAAAACAAGCTAATGTCCAGGATAGCTGTGTGGTAAACACTCAAAGATTAAGCATATATGAAAATATATTTGTTTTTCACTAGTAGTGATGCTAAATCACATGAGGTATACATACTTGATAGATTTCTGCAGTGCTTTGGGTATTATGTTTTATGGATCTAGTCATGGACACTTCTGGAATATTAATTTAACACACTTCATTTGAAAAAAAAAATATAGGGAGATTGGTTTGCAAAAGCCAAATGAGCTTCACTTAGTGGTTTGTTAGCACAAGTGCTATTAATAAAACTTATTCTTTCACAACATGTTTAGGGGATATGTGTTTCCAGAGGGTTGGCCATGTGTCCCTTGTGCCTTTCATCACTGCCTTGAATTAGCTGGATCAGTAGCTGCAGAGTGAGTTGAGACCCACTTCACACATGGATTGACTATGCATTCCTTCAGTGTTTCCATTTCCTGCCAACACTGGAAAGAAGGCAAGATATTGTGTCTCAGTCTTGGATCCAGCCCACAGTAGTGATTTATAACTGTCTTGAAATTAAAGTGGAAAAATAAAGGAAAGCAATTGAAATAAATGTGAATAAAAACAAAGAAGAACACTGTATTTTACAACTAGAACGTTTAGTTGCTGCAGATGGAACAGTCATTCCATTAGTAAACATGCTCTTTTACAGCCATTCTCAGGGGATTATTAGAGCAGATTTTTAAAGTGAATTCCATTTGGGATGAAAGCAGTTACGTACATGGAAACTCTTACTTCATATTCATCCTTTTCTCTATCAAATGCCCTCATCAGGACATGATGAGATTAAACCTTTGTTGCAGTAACACAAAGTGAAGAAAAGGATGGGCACTTTCTTATCAACATAGAGTTAATCCTTTTATGCATCTTTCACTGCTATGTCCTTTAGAGTACCTAGTACTGAGTGGGGTAAATAGTAAGTGATTACCTGTTAACTAATTTATTAATAAATGAGGCTGTATTTCTGTACAATTCCAGCTTGTTTTCACAATTTATAATGCCCCAGAATTTGAATGATGGTTTGGCAGCCAACATCTTTGGAACTTACCAAAGAATTACTTGGCTTTTCTCAGGTGGCATCGGATAGCAATCAGTGTGGAGAAGAAAATGGTGACGATGATTGTTGATTGTAAGAAGAAAACCACAAAAGCACTTGATAGAAGTGAGAGAGCAATTGTTGACACCAATGGAATCACAGTCTTTGGAACAAGAATATTGGATGAAGAAGTTTTTGAGGTAAAAAAGAAACCAAACTTTACTTTAAGCTGAGAATTATTAAGTTAGATATTTTGCAAGTGACAATCAATATGCATTATAAAGTAAAAGTTGGAAACCTGTAAAAGGTGACCTACTTTCTTCATGTGTGGGTGGTGGTGTGATGATTTGTATTGTTCAGTAAGAGAATGACCAGACAAAAGTGACTGTTAAGTCCTGGGAAACATTTGCAAAGATTGGTTGATTTGAATACAGGGGTGCTATTCTCCTGGGAAGGATAAATAGCCTTACTCTTAGTACTTTGTATTATTTTCTTTGGAGAAAAGAACATTTTCCTCACTTCCTTCTCTGGGAGATTAATTTAGAAAAATGTAAAAGGCAGCTATACTGTCTTTCTCTGCTCATTGCTAATTTTTCCAAGGTAAAGTTGTGATTATGTTGCACAAGATGAACCTTGCATGTTTTAAAAAATAATGTGAAGGTCCCATAGCTTTGTGGTATAACTTTCTTTTGAATTACAATTAATAAATTATAATTATTATATTATTTTAATCTTTAATCTTTTAATCTGACCTAATAACTCAAGATTTAATTTTTATTTAATTAATAACCTAGCAAACATGTCTGAGTCCTGAACCCAGAGATACACAATTGATACATAATTGAGTACCATAGCAATTCATTTTATGCTATGTCTGAATAATGTTATTTTGAAAGTACAGACTTACAGACTAATAGACATGTTTCACATAACATATTTGCTGTAGATTGTTGTTACGAAAACACACACACACATATATATAAAAGCACATATCTGTGCAGGCATATATGTTGTGGTATGTTGTCAGTTATGTGATGAGTTGCCTATGACTTATAACATATGTAGTACAATAGCTCTGAAGCCTGTCCTGTCCTGAGCCAGTCACATTGACTCTGACACATTTATCTGTATTACTCCAGTTACTGTTTCAATTAATCTCATCCAGGGACTTCCTCTCCTGTGCTGTCCCTCTACCCTTCCAAGCATGATTGATGTCCTTTTCCAAGAACTGGTCCCTCCTGGCCATGTGCTCAAAGTATACGAGCTAGAGTATATATATATACACACAAATAGTTTATTATATTTGATATGAAGATGATTATGCTATTTATATAGTATGGTTTATTTGCAATTTCTTCTACTAATGTGTACATATATATTTCTAATGAAATATACTGATCTAAGACATTATACAAAAGGATAGTCTGATTCAAATAATATGTAATGATAATATACTTTAAGATCTTGCAATATTTAGCATTGATTGTACATTAAAACATATTTATGGTAAAAATAAACACTTAGATAAATAAATATAAGTAAATATATTAGTACACTTAATAATTTACTAATTTAGTCTCATCTTGGTGGCAGTAATTTAGGATGTAACTTTAAAATCATTGATGAGGCAATAAATCTGTGGGCTGGTCTGGGGCCTGGGGCCTTGGAGTCTCCCTCCACTCTGGAAGTTGACTGGTTGGCTGGCGTCTTGATGGCAGTCTCGTCTTGGTGGCAGTCAGGCAAGGGAAGTTAATTTTAGAAGAATATTCTTTTAAAGACACAGCATCATTTGTCTATTTGCTGTACTGAACAACTTGGAGTTACTGTGATGTGTCAAATACCATTTAAATTCGTAAACTCTATGAACTTGGAGTAACAGTGGTGACTATGGAAAGGCATCAGGTCTTTTGTTCATAGAGTCGCTATTTGTTCATAGAGTCACTAGGAGTCGACCTCAACCCCACGGTAATCAACAACAACAGGTAAATAAATATAAGTAAATATATTTGTATAATTTTAAGCTTTATAAAGTCCTATTTTAGGGTAAAAATATTAAAATATAAGTTTCATAGACAAATATTTATTTTGTAGCCCTCAGTCATTCTTTTTCAGGATCACAAATAAATGTGTATTTTATGTCAATAATGTGTCTGTTACAAGGTTTTTTGCCAGTCAGGTTTCCCTAGAGATATTTTTCCAGTATGCCATGCTTATTTTCTACATGTTACTGTAAAATTAGCAGAGTGTGTTTATTAAAATATCTCAGATGGAGAGGGAATATTGATTGGCTAAAAGCTTGTAACTCCTGCATTATTTGCATAAAACTATAGCAGTGGTGTCATTATTTTTAGTTGTGTAGAATTAATGTAGACTGTGAGGATGTATGCAGAGTAGAATGTGCCCTATAGAATTTTCAGTGCTGTAATATTTTAGAAGGAAAACTCTAAGCCTGTCTCTTGAGGCATCACTCATCCAGTTGATTACTCTTACTCATTCCCACTGAACCAAATCCAATTCATAGCTGACCTTCCACTGGGCTTCTTAAGCTATAAATTGCACTGGAGGAGACTGTCCCATCTCTGTCCCTCAGAGCAGCTGGTAGAGAAGAACTCCCAGAGAGGTGCAATTGTTGGGTTAGCAGCATAACTACCTACAGGCTACACTGCCACAGCTCCCCTCCTTCTGTAAGTAAGTAACTGTGTATGCAGGTCACGGATTCCTAATGGAGTGATATAAATGAACACTGTTAATGGAGTATTACACTTTATACAGTACTTTAATCGGTCATGACACACACATTCACAGAACCTGTGGAAGGTTAAAAACATGAAAATTAAGAGCAGATTTTGTTCATCATTTATAATTAGGTTATCTAAAGAGGAAGAGAAAGTGAAGTGAAAATCTAAATGCAATTAATTAATTTTCAAGTCTGATAAATTTACTGACACTGAAGGATAATACTTGCTATGAATACATGAATTACTTGTTAGTGAGATTTATTATTTAAAAAATTTGGAACCGTTGTTACTTCTATTCTGTTGGAATTAAGGATGTTGAAACACCTTAGTTAATATCATAATTTTTCGTTATTAAGTCTGGATGGAATTTCTTCTGATGTCTGTTTTTGGTTTTTTGGTGTTTTT